GAGAGGTGTGACCAGTGTGAGAGGTGTTGACCAGTGTGAGAGGTGTTGACCAGTGTGAGAGGTGTTTGACCAGTGTGGAGAGGTGTTGACCAGTGTGAGAGGTGTTTGACCAGTGTGAGAGGTGTTTTGACCAGTGTTAGACGGTGGCTCACCCAGTGTGAGAGGTGCTAACCAGTGTGAGAGGTGTTCACCCGTGTGAGAGGTGTTGACCAGTGTGAGAGGTGTTGACCAGTGTGAGAGGTGTTGACCAGTGTGAGAGGTGTTGACCAGTGTGAGAGGTGCTAACCAGTGTGAGAGGTGTTCACCAGTGTGAGAGGTGTTCACCAGTGTGAGAGGTGTTCACCAGTGTGAGAGGTGTTCACCAGTGTGAGAGGTTCTCACCAGTGTGAGAGGTTCTCACCAGTGTGAGAGGTTCTCACCAGTGTGAGAGGTTCTCACCAGTGTGAGAGGTTCTCACCAGTGTGAGAGGTGCTCACCAGTGTGAGAGGTGCTCACCAGTGTGAGAGGTGCTCACCAGTGTGAGAGGTGTTCCCCAGTGTGAGTGGTGTTCCCCAGTGTGAGTGGTGTTCACCAGTGTGAGTGGTGTTCACCAGTGTGAGTGGTGTTCCCCAGTGTGAGTGGTGTTCCCCAGTGTGAGAGGTGTTCCCCAGTGTGAGAGGTGTTCACCAGTGTGAGAGGTGCTCACCAGTGTGAGAGGTGTTCACCAGTGTGAGAGGTGTTCACCAGTGTGAGTGGTGTTCCCCAGTGTGAGAGGTGTTCACCAGTGTGAGTGGTGTTCACCAGTGTGAGAGGTGTTCACCAGTGTGAGTGGTGTTCACCAGTGTGGGAGGTGTTCACCAGTGTGGGAGGTGTTCACCAGTGTGAGTGGTGTTCACCAGTGTGAGAGGTGTTCACCAGTGTGAGTGGTGTTCCCCAGTGTGAGAGGTGTTGACCAGTGTGAGAGGTGTTGACCAGTGTGAGAGGTGTTGACCAGTGTGAGAGGTGTTGACCAGTGTGAGAGGTGTTGACCATGTGAGAGGTGTTGACCAGTGTGAGAGGTGTTGACCAGTGTGAGAGGTGTTGACCAGTGTGAGAGGTGTTGACCAGTGTGAGAGGTGTTGACCAGTGTGAGAGGTGTTGACCAGTGTGTGAGAGGTGTTGACCAGTGTGAGAGTGTTGACCAGTGTGAGAGGTGTTGACCAGTGTGAGAGGTGTTGACCAGTGTGAGAGGTGTTGACCAGTGTGAGAGTGTTGACCAGTGTGAGAGGTGTTGACCAGTGTGAGAGGTGTTGACCAGTGTTAGAGGTGTTGACCAGTGTGAGAGGTGTTGACCAGTGTGAGAGGTGTTGACCAGTGTGAGAGGTGTTGACCAGTGTGAGAGGTGTTGACCAGTGTGAGAGGTGTTCACCCGTGTGAGAGGTGTTGACCAGTGTGAGAGGTGTTGACCAGTGTGAGAGGTGTTGACCAGTGTGAGAGGTGTTGACCAGTGTGAGAGGTGTTCACCCGTGTGAGAGGTGTTGACCAGTGTGAGAGGTGTTGACCAGTGTGAGAGGTGTTGACCAGTGTGAGAGGTGTTCACCAGTGTGAGAGGTTCTCACCAGTGTGAGAGGTGTTGACCAGTGTGAGAGGTGTTCACCAGTGTGAGAGGTTCTCACCAGTGTGAGAGGTGTTCACCAGTGTGAGAGGTGTTGACCAGTGTGAGAGGTTCTCACCAGTGTGAGAGGTGTTCACCAGTGTGAGAGGTGTTGACCAGTGTGAGAGGTGTTCACCAGTGTGAGAGGTGTTCACCAGTGTGAGAGGTGTTCACCAGTGTGAGAGGTGTTCACCAGTGTGAGAGGTGTTGACCAGTGTGAGAGGTTCTCACCAGTGTGAGAGGTGTTGACCAGTGTGAGAGGTGTTCACCAGTGTGAGAGGTTCTCACCAGTGTGAGAGGTGTTCACCAGTGTGAGTGGTGCTCACCAGTGTGAGAGGTGTTGACCAGTGTGAGAGGTGTTGACCAGTGTGAGAGGTGTTGACCAGTGTGAGAGGTGTTGACCAGTGTGAGAGGTGTTGACCAGTGTGAGAGGTGTTGACCAGTGTGAGAGGTGTTGACCAGTGTGAGAGGTTCTCACCAGTGTGAGAGGTGTTCACCAGTGTGAGTGGTGTTGACCAGTGTGAGAGGTGTTGACCAGTGTGAGAGGTGTTGACCAGTGTGGGAGGTGTTCACCAGTGTGAGAGGTGTTGACCAGTGTGAGGTGTTGACCAGTGTGAGAGGTGTTGACCAGTGTGAGAGGTTCTCACCAGTGTGAGAGGTGTTCACCAGTGTGAGAGGTGTTCACCAGTGTGAGAGGTTCTCACCAGTGTGAGAGGTGTTGACCAGTGTGAGAGGTGTTCACCAGTGTGAGAGGTGTTGACCAGTGTGAGAGGTGTTGACCAGTGTGAGAGGTGTTGACCAGTGTGAGAGGTGTTGACCAGTGTGAGAGGTGTTCACCAGTGTGAGAGGTGTTCACCAGTGTGAGAGGTTCTCACCAGTGTGAGAGGT